CAATTGTTAGCCTGTGTCTTTTTATAGGTGAGCTTAGTCCATTTATATTAAAGGATATTAATGAACAGTGGTTGCTATCTCCTATTGATTTAGTTTTCATTGTTGGTGATACTAATTTGTGCATTTTTCCCTTCTTTAGGATTTGCTGCTGTGAAATCATCAATTTTCAGTGTTTTGTGGATGTAACCAACTTCCTTGGGTTGGAATTTTGGCATAGAATATGTTGTTTTGTCCTTCTATGGTAGTTGAAAGTTTTGCTGGGTATAGTAGTCTGGGCTGGCATCTGTCATCTCTTAATGTCTACATAACACTTGACCAGGACCTTCTGGCTTTCATTGTGTCTATTGAGATACAATAAAACTGATAGGTCTGCCTTTATATGTTACTTGGCATTTTTCCTTTGCAGCTCTTAATATTCTTTCTTTATCCTGTATGTTTAGTGTTTTGATTATTATGTGGCCAGGGAACTTTCTTTTTTGATCCAGTTTATTGGTGTTCTGTAAGCTTCTTGTATCTTCATAGGCATATCTTTCTTTAGGTTGGAAAAGTTTTCTTTTATGACTTTGTTAAATATATTATCTGTGCTTTTGAGTTGAATTTCTTCTCCTTCTTCTATACCTAGTATTCTTAGGTTTGGTCTTTTCGTGGTGTCCTATAGTTCCTGGATGTTTTGTGTTAATCTTTTGCTAGATTTAATGTTTTCTTTGATGGATGAGTCTATTTCCCCTATTGTATCCTCAACACTTGAGATTCTGTCTTCCATCTCTTGTATTCTTGAATACAAGAATTGTATTCTTGTTTATGCTTGAATTTGTGGTTCCTGATCATTTTCTCATGATTTCTGTTTCTATAATTTCCTTGGCTTATGTTTTCTTTATTGTCTCTATTTCAGTTTTCAAGTCTTGAATAGTTTCTTTCATATGTTTTATTGCTTTTTCTCGATTTTCTTTAAGGTATTTGTTGATGTCTTCCAATTTCTTGTTTGTCATTTCCTCCATTTTGGGGGAGGAATTTCCCATTTCTTCTTAAAGGGCCTCCAACATTTTCCTGAAGTTATTTTTAGATCATTTTCTTATGCTTCATCTATATTCATTAGTTCAAGTCTTGCTGTTGTAGGGTCACTAGATTTTACTGGTGTTATGTTATTCTTTGTGGTGTTGTGTGTGTTCTTACCTTGTCTACCCATCTTTTCCTCTAGTTGGTGTAGTTTGGGCTGTCTGTGACTCTGGTAATCAATCTTCCAGGTGTCAGTGGTTCCAAGGCTCAGATGGCTGTTCCTTGTGGTACATTCAGTGCCATGGTTCCAGTTACCACATTGGTCATTCCCTATTTTTAGAAATCATTCAGCACTCCTGGGGTTTGCTCTGCTCCCATGGAGTTTGCTGTTCTCAGGCCTGCTCTGGCCTAGGTTGCTGGCTCAGACCTGTTTCTGTAAATGTTCCTGGTCTGGATCCACTCCTGCAGAGGTCTCTGTCTTGGAGTTCATCCTGCAAAGGTCTCTGATCTACAGCTTCTGAGGCCCCAGACTTGGGTGTGCCTGGACTCACAGAGGACCTGGCTCAGGCCTACTCACTAAGAGATCCCAGACTCATGCCTAGACCTACAGAGGTCCTGGCTCAGGCTTAGTTCTTCAGAGGTTCTTGACTCACGCCTGGACATCAGGGGTCCTGGCTCAGGTGTACTCCCTCAGCCTTGCTCCCCTGTACCTACTCCTGTGGAGTTTGCTGTCTTAGGTCTGCTCTGACCTAGGTTGCTGGCTCAGTCCTGTTTCCATAAATGTCCCTGTTCTGGAACCACTCCCACTTATGCAGAGTTCACTGTCTCAGGCTTGCTCCAGGCTAGGTCACTGGCTCAATCCTGCTCCTGTGGAGTTCGCTGCCTCAGGCCTGCTCTAGCCCAGGTCACTGGCTCAGTCCTGCTCCTGTGGAGTTCAACCATCTCAGGCTCACTTGGGCCTAGGTCACTGGCTCAGTCCTTTCTCAGTATTTCTATATATACCTGCTAACATGGGTATTATCACCCTCAGTTTGTAGCTAAAAACGTCACACAACTTGAGTCAGATAGGAAGTAGTTAGTTGTCAACCCTGTCAAAACCAACAAATCATTTCCATATGCAATTATCCATTGTGCACCTAAATTAACACACAATTTAATCGACATACTGACATATATGTAAAAATAAGTAAAATGTTACAGTTGCAATATAAAGAACAAAAAGGAGGGTTATTATATATTTTAGAAAGTAGATGTCTCTGATATCTCCACTCGACAACCCACCCTCCTGAAGTATGTCTTCTCTGCCTGTTAGCAGACTTAATAAGAATGTACATAACTCAAATGTAAATGAATACAAATAATTTGATTCAAATAATTTGAACGGTTTGTTTGGGGCATTTTTTTGCCTTCTTTCTTTCTTCCTTCTTTTTCCCTTTTTCTTTCTTTTTCCCTTTTTATTTTTTCTTATGTGTATGACTGTTTGACTGTATTTGGACTATGTGAGTGGAATGCCCACAGAGGCCAGAAAAGGACATCATAATCCTTGGAATTGCACAACTGTGAGTTGCCATGTGAGAACTGGGATTCAACCCTGGTCCTCTATAAGAACTGCAAGTGTTCTTAGCTGTTGGGCTTGTCATCTCCCTGGCTGCTTCTCTTCTATCTATCTGTCTGTCTATCTATCTATCTATCTATCTATCTATCTATCTATCTATCTGTCTATATATCTGTCTACCTATTTTAATGTTTTTAGACAGGGACTTCCTATATAGACTAAGTCACTGGCCTTGAATTCACAATCTTCTTGCCCAGACTCTTTATGTACTGAAGCTGTAGGTACATGGATTGAATGCACTTCATGTGGGTGAAGTAATTTCTCTAAGCTTAAGAGAATTCATTACAAAAGTTCTAAGCAGCAGCTACAAAAGACAAACAAAAAACAAACAAAAAAGATTCTCTAGATTAACAGCTAACCTACAATCTGCTATGTAAGAAATCACATAATAAAGTATGCAAAAGACAACATTTTATGCAAAAGAGTTATGAACTGAGCTGAGCTAGGAATCATTTAATTCATGTACACTGTCCTGCTCATGATGGACATCTTAAACTCTGGTCTAGAAGACCAAGTGCTGGTCATGCCTCAACATTTATAATAATCCCACTGTCCCAGTTATTACCGTAGTATTCTGATCTGAAACCTCCCACATGGACTCAAAATTGTGGGCTACAGTTTGCACACAGGCATGTCATACCTCAAATGTTACTCTTATTTGCACTGTCTGGTTTTGTTTCAAAGACTGATGGGAAGCACATGACGCTTTCAGGAATGGTTAAGTAAATGTTGCTCCTTGAACTCATTCTGCAGTCTAGTAGAGACACAGATGCCTTCCTAAATTAGGTATATGTTTAATTCATTAAATAAAATATTGAAACAAAATAGTAGATCAATTATATTGAATATATATTCACATATTACATATTGAATAAATAATTTTAGCATAGTATAAAGTGAATTAATATTTTATTTCCTTATACTCTGAATGTTATATGTAAAATTGTCAGTCACTTTATTAGGGACCAACTACTGCTGTGATTTGTTGCCTAGCTGTAAAATTGGAAGGGAGTAAACTGAAATAGTTTCATTTTGTTTTCAAATGCAAGTTCAGGAATGCCCAGAACTTGCCCATAAACCCCAGGCTAAAGATTCCTACACTGGAGAGGATAGATGCTGAGAGTCAGGGAGCACAGGTTCCTGCTACCTGATTCATCAGCTTTAGGGAAAATGACACACAGCAGGTGACTAGCTGGTTCTCAAAAATTGGATAGTTAGAGAGAGAAAAACATGGGAGAGATCACCAAATACAGTCAGGGAAAGACCCAGAAGCACAGCTTTGGGTAATACTGGGTAGATGTTGTCAACAAGAGGAGATGGAAGAAATGTGGAAATCAGTGACAGACTGGAATGATGTAGGACACTGGAACCTACGGGCTGTTCTCAAATCACAGGGATTTTCTGCTGATCAAATTTGATTTCACTATTTCTTCTGTGTACTGGTATGGTGTATATTGTGTATACTGTGTACATATTGGGTGCTATGGGTTGGTTATGAGGTATGTCACATAGTAGGCTTGTGCTGGGTGGGAACATGGTTCCCAGCCAGTGGCTCTATTGAGAATCAGTTGGATCATGGGAACACAAGCGGCATCAAACTATTAGTGCACATAGCTGAAGGGGCTGTTCTTAATAGACCACAAGAGCTTACTGGAAGACTGCCCAGTGGGGTCATGCCTTTAGAAGCTAGATCATGTCCCTCCCCTCCCCCATCTCCCCGTCTGTCTCCCTTGTCCCTCTCCCTCCTCTTCCCACCCTCTCTCCCGTGCTGTTCCTATATTCTCCCTGCCTCTGCTTCCTAGCTACTACTCCTGAGCACTTCTATTCCACATCCTGCACAGAATGATGCTCAGCTTCACCTCAGGCCTGAAGTAACGAGGGTCCACCATGGACTGGAATCCAGAAAGCCAGCAGTCAAAGTTTATCCTTCCTCCTTGTAATTTAGCACAGGCACTCTGTCACAGAGACCAGAGCCTTACACACTGAAATGATCAGCGTGTAAAATACCTGCCTATAACTGTTCCGTCGTTTCCTACTCTGACCCCTTTCTCATTGTCCTTGGCAATGAAATTAGCTTATTGTCCATATGAGGGATTTCTAGGGCATGGGTATGTTGTCCAAGAAAATGTTGCAAATTGCATGTTTGACTCTGCTGTCTCAGGTCCAGGCAATAGACAGGAACGGGATATAATTGTGCCTATTTGTTGTTGAGCGAACCACGCTTTTCTCCCATCTACCTGCACTGGATGCCTGCAACACCCTGGAAAATCCATTTATAGCTCAGTAGACATCTCTTTATTAATTGGTCAGGTTTACAGTCGGCCTCCAACACCATGTGCCCTTCAGAGCAGCAGCCGGCGGTCACTGACCTGTGCACGTTTGTTTTCAGTGAGTGCCATAACTCGACAGATCGAATCAAGGTCCGAGTATGGGATGAAGACGATGACATTAAATCCAGAGTGAAGCAGCACTTCAAGAAGGAGTCGGATGACTTTCTGGGGCAGACGATCGTGGAAGTCAGGACTCTGAGCGGCGAGATGGATGTCTGGTACAACTTAGGTGATTATTTTTATACCTACTTGAAAATGAGTTCAGATTTAAGTGTCCCTGTGACATGGCTCCTACTCACCTAGAGTTAAAAGTCAGATGTCTTTGTAGATCATTCTGCAGACCTCTTATTTGGGTTAGTTTCGTTAGCAACGAAGGGCAACTGTAGATGAAATTTTTGTACTATTGAAAGACATTGTTAAATCTAAGATGAAAATAGACAACTCAAGGAATCCACTGAATGTCTTTTCAGAGAAATGTTTACACCACTCTTGACTTTAGATTACAGCTTCAAAGACATTTGTCTAATGCTTGGGAAATGGCTCCTCTGATTTATTCTGCTCATCAATGAAAATATAGTTGATGGGCTGGAGAGATAGATAATCAATTAACAGCATTTTCTGTTCTTCCAGAGGACCCAGGTTTAGTTCCCAGAATCTGTGTCAAAGGGCTCACAACTGCCTGTAGCTCTAGCTTGGGGAGGGGGTGCAGTGCCTTCTTCTGACCTCCATAGACAACCACAAATGCATGGCGTGCCTTCTCACAGACTCACACATGCACATAAATTTAAAAAATTATATATTAACTAATTGAAAAAAGATAGTTTATATGTAGTTGGGATTTCCTTCAAATGGTAATATAAAAATAGCTTTTCATTAGCAAAAACAAGATGAATTGATGTGACTTTAACATGGGGTTCAACTGTGAAGATGTTAATAATAAGTTTAGCTGGCACGACATTTAAATAAACTTTTATTATGGAAACAGGAGTAAGACAAATTTGAATTCAGCTTTTACTCGAGTAAAAAAAAAAACCTGGGGTTTTTACTGGTGACTTAATAATAGTACAAATTTATAGTTATCTCAGTTTTTAGGAAAGATGGGTTCCAAAGATTTCTTAATGGCAGCCTAGGAAGTGGTGAATTAAATTTTTGAGAAGCAGCTGGTCATGAACAGAAGCTGACATAGCCCCTGAACCACAAAGAATTACCACTTAGATTCACAATGTACTTTACCAACTTACAGAATGTTGGTTCTAAAACAAACAAACAAACCCTACAAACTTTTAGTAATATAATAGTTGTCAAAATAAAGAAAGTCTCATTGAGTTAATAAAATTCTAAATTATGTAACAACTTAAGAAACAGGAAATTTAACTTAATCTAAACGCAAATGATTCAGCTATGTTGGGAACTCATTACCAAAAATAGTTGAAGAATCTTAATTAAAGAATGTTGGTACTTCTCATTATTGGAATCTGAGCTTAGGACTAAGCTAAACTCCCACATCTTGTTTAAATTATTAAGTAACTTTACATATGAAACCAAGATGTTAAAGGAAGAAAACCAGTCCCTGTGCAGTACTCAAAAACCATATTTTAATTGGAGCCTTGCTTTTTCAGATTTGTTTTCTATAATGAATTACCATCCTCTTGAACTAAAGAATAAAGTTATGTCAGAACAGAAATTCTTGTATTTTATTGTTTGGGTAATATATGCCTGGTTATAACCAGTTTGCTAGGGAGCTTAGCTATGCCATTTAGTTAAATGGCTGCCCATTTTTGATGTGAAACTGCCCTTTAAACTGTGAAAAAAAAAAAAAAAACAAGGACCGGGGATACTGTGTAGGCAGCCTTATCTTCAGCACCTTCAGCTGCCCAGTGGGTACCTTTGTCCCCTTACTTCCACGTCCTTTGCCTTCTAGGAGGGAAAGGGAAAGAAGAAAGGCAGGAAAGGAAGGAGGAGAAGAGAGAGATGAAATTTGTTTGCATATCTATGTGTTGTAAAATCCCTCATTGTGTCCAATCCTTACAAATAATTTACTATATCTTTCGTGTAAACTCCGTCCTTTCTCATCGCTTGGAATTTACCCTACCACCCAAAGCAATGCTTGTCCCAAAGTCCTGCGTGCCCAAACAGAGTCAATGGTTCCTCTATTTGAGAGATCCCATTAATTCTAAGCTTCCTGGGAGCTCTGGAAAGGGGTGGTTGGCAAGGATACCTACCCCAAGCTCTGTGTTTCACTTGCACCTAACTGAAAACTCCATGTGTGTTGAGAGTAAAGGGACTCCCAACCAGGTTTGCTAGGCCGAGATTGTAATTCTGTTTTCTCAGAAGACAGAGGCAGAGGGTCACCTGATCAAGGACTGCCTGGACAATTTTGCAAGAACCTGTCTCAAATTAACAAGCGAGGAATTGGCTGGAAATACAGCTGAGTGGTAGAACTCTTCCTGTAGAAGTATGACACCCTGAGTTCAATTCCTAGTACAACACACACACACACACACACACACACACACACACACACACACACAAACAGGTTGAGTGTGGTATCTTAGCAAGCAGGCAAACTCCTGATGATTCTCTACTGCTGAAGAAAGAATTTTCACAATTCACTCCTGCTAGACAGCGAGGCTGAAAAAGTCAAAAGGCATCTCACACAGAGAAGGCAAACTCCATAATCTTACGTGGCTAAAAGGACGGATAGGTTTAGGAAAACAGCCAATTAAAGAAGTCTTCAGCACTAGCCTCCTGTTGTTCTGTTTGGCTCCTTATTATAAGTGATGAGCTTCTCTCCACGCATATCCTTTGTGAAATGGTGGCAATCTCACGTTCCCAGGCTATAGTCATACGCTAGGAGTCCTGTGACTGTAAGTTCCTCACAAAGCTCTGAGAGGTGTGTGCCGCTCCTCCTGACTCAAGTCCACTTATTGAATAAACTGATAGTATTTTGATCCCATTCAAGTAATTAATATCACATTTACAAATAAACACAGGCTGGAGATAGACAATGTGAAAACTGCTTTCATCTTGTGGTTAGCCAGAATTTGGCTCCTCTTTCGTGAAAGATGAAAGAACAAGAGGATGCTGAAGAGGAGCTTTTCAAGTGAGACAGTTTCCTCATGAAATTTTATGTTTCGATTATCTTGCGTGTAATTGCCACATGATGAATTTAATGTCACTGTGTAAGGGCAGGGAAGGGTCCTTTGATCATCTGTCTGAACTCTCTACAGGCTGTGTAACAGTTACAACAGCACAACAGGCAAGCATTGTCTATGGGGGTCATGGTTACTTAGTCACTTATAATATAGAAAACGAGCTGTTCCTAGGTAAGCTTCTCGTGTGTGTGTGTGTGTGTGTGTGTGTGTGTGTGTGTGTGTGTGAGAGAGAGAGAGAGAGAGAGAGAGAAAGAGAGAGATAGAGAGAGAGAGAGCAGATGTGTGTGTATGCATATGCATATGTATGTCTGTGAGTGTATGTATGTATTTATAAACATCCATTATTTTATTTTATGTGTATGAGTGTTTCATCTGCATGTGTACACATAACATGTACATGCCTGGTATCCATGGAAGCAAGAAGAGGGCACTGAATCTCTTGAAACCAGAGTTGAAGATGGTTATAAGCTATCATGTGGACACTGGGGTTAAGCCTCCCTGCACTGGGATTAACACTGGGGTTAAGCCTGTTCTTCTCTGCAAGAATGGCAAGCGCTCTTAGCCATTGAACCATCCCTCCAGCCCATAAATTTGTTTGGAAACAATTTTACACATGTGTATAAAATGTATAAACCACTTTCACCCACCAGTTATCACCCCTACCAACATGCATTTCCCATACACAAATCTCTCTTTCATGTTTAGTCTACTTAATTTGTTTTGTGATCCACTGAGATTAATAGAACCAGTCCACGTGCCCATGTGCATGGCTCTCTCCTTTGCAGTGTGGGGGTGGCTCGTCAGTGAATATCAAACTAGAGACAGTGCTTCCCCTCTCTCCCAGTAGTTAAGATATAAAATAGCCAGTAGTTCAGAGATAAAAGGTAGGGCCCCATGAGTTCCTCTCCCTTGCTTGACTGATTGCTGATATGGCCAGTCATGGATAGGCCCAGGGTAAGGTATCTATGGTTGTGGTGAGTTAGTACATTGGGGAACTTGAATTAGAATTATGTTCCTGTTGGGATAACTGACCAAGGACATGTTTGCTTTTCTTCAGAGAAACGGACAGATAAGTCAGCTGTGTCTGGGGCCATCCGACTGAAAATCAACGTGGAAATAAAGGGAGAGGAGAAGGTGGCACCATACCACATACAATACACTTGTTTACACGAGGTAAGTAGGACAATAAATTCTATTAAAAGTGAAACATAGGGAGGTCTTGCTTGCTATGAATCACAAAACAAACCCTGGCTTTTGAAAAGTCATGGAATCGGGTTTCTGGAGTTCTTCCTGGAGTCCAGATTGCCTGTGGTAGCCTAGGCTGTGCTGAGCCTGTGGTAACAGGGGCTGGGCCTGTGGTAGCCAGGGCTGTGACTAAGTCAGGCTTACTGACTAAGCCTGTGGTAAAAGGTGGTGCACTGAGGTGTAAAAACCCGGTAGAAAGCTGGCCCTTTAGTGGGATTTCAGAGCCCTCGAGGCAGGTATCATAGAGCCAACTTACCAGTTCCTGTTTGGTCCTTGGTGTGCATGCACTGACCAGTTGCCCTGGGCCTCTGCAAGCTCTGGAGAGGTAAGAAGTGTCACTGATGACATTTTTGGGCGAAACAATACTTTTTCCTAACGTACAAAAGGGTGAGATGAAGCTGAGAAATGTCCCTTGCCCTGTGCTCTGGGACAGAAGGAGAAAACACTTTTATCCCCAGAGGGAAAAGGCATCAGGACAGCTACCCTGGTTTCGTGTCTGTCATTGTGATCAAATGCCTGACAAAAAGCAGTTTAGGAGAGAAAGGTTTGTTTGGGCTCACAGTTCCTTGTTGTCTGTCACTGCTGGGAACTCAAGGAGGCAGGGCTTGAAGGAGTGGCTCCCATCCACAGCCAAGGACAGAGAGAGAACAAATGCCCGCTGCTGCTTGGGGCTCACTCTCCTCTGTGCTTAGCCCAGAGCCCAGCCTGAGAAAGGGCGCTGCTAATGTTAGGTGCCTTCCCTCCTCTGTGAGCCAGCTGAGGCAATCCCCCACAGACACGCCCATATGCCAACGCTACAAACGCGGTCTCTCACCGAGACTCTCTTCCCAGGCCATTCTACTTGTATCAGAGTGACACTAAGCTAGCCACCAAATTGCCATGGCTTTTTCACACATTAATTTTTCTAAATATGTTTATGAAAACCCCTATCTCTAAACAACTGACACGGAAAATATTTGCATACCATTTTTACCAAATAAAGACTAAGAAATGGTGTTTCATTTGTCCACACAGCAAACAGATATGGGATTTATGATGAGTTTTATGGCCGAGGCACTGGCAGCATTATGTCAAGAAGCAGTTTTCTATTTTCTGACTAATAAAAAGCAACAATCACCACAGGCTTGGCCAGGATCTCTGGCCTTGAAAATCCAACAGAGAAGATGTGTGCTTTAGGCTTTACTTTCTAGAGACTTTTCTTCTAGTTTAGGAAGGTGAAGACTGGAGAGATGGCTCACTGTGTAGACATGGGATTCACGCAGTGTAAAGAGAAAAGCAGCTCTCACAAGCTGACCTCCACATGCATCTTGTGCACACTGCCCTACCACCAACGGCAAATTGAAAAAGAGGTGGGAGGCTCTGTAACCAATAACAAGGTTCTAGTCCGCAGCACCAGTACCTATAAGATGCCAAAGGGGACTCAGCAGGGTGATTTCTTGAATTATCAAGTTTCCAAACATTTATTTTCCATCTCAACTCTTTTCCTGGCTCTTACCGTTCTGTTTCTGAAGACTCATGGTTTATTTGTGACAATCCATATGACCATGGCCAATGTCCCATTATCCAACCAGGACACTGTAATTTACTCAGAGTTCACGAATGAAAAACTATATTATCTTATGTAGAAGCATTTACATAGAAACGTGCTTGCTTCCTTCTGGAAATGGCTGGGTGCGTACAAGCAAATGAATTATTGATTCTGCAGACTCCCAGGCAGAAGCAATGACAGATTTCCTATAATAAATTCAGTTTGATATAATCTAAGATATACCCAGTGCGTTCAGAGCCTGGTGACAAAGACCTGATAACACAGTGATCTTCTATAAAAAAGCATAGTTAAATATTCCCAGCCTGTCCTGAGGAGCCCTGAACAATGCAAACTGCTTACTTTCAGAACCTGTTCCATTACTTGACTGAAGTGAAGTCTAATGGCCGTGTGAAAATACCAGAGGTCAAAGGCGATGAAGCCTGGAAGGTATTCTTTGACGATGCTTCTCAAGAAATCGTGGATGAGTTCGCCATGCGTTATGGGGTTGAATCCATTTATCAAGCTATGACGTAAGTACTGAGGATGTTGGAGTGGGCACAAATCTTGGTTGGAATTCAGTAGAAAGAAAGGGGAGACTTCATCTTGGTTCTTTACTTTTTTACATTTACTATTAATATTTATTTACCGTGTGTGTGTGTGTGTGTGTGTGTGTGTGTGTGTGTGTGTGTTCTTGCCATGGCATGCCTGTAGAGATCAAAGGACAAATGGCAGGTGTTTGTTCTCTCCTTGCACTAAGTGAGGTTTTGGGACTAACCTGATGGCCATTCTGTCAGCCCTCATCTCAGTTTTTAGCCCAAATGCAATTGATCAAGAAATAGAATTTCCTTATTTGCCTATGCTGCTCAGTACAGCATTAAGACAGTAATTATCAGAGCATCCACCATCATCATCCTCCAGCTGCTATTCCCTTCACTAGCATCATTAGCACGGGAGATTTAGAAATGTCCACCTGAGTCCCACTGATAGGATGCGATCTGAGAGCGGGGTCGGCATCCTCCTAACGTGAACATCTTTGGTATCTGAGGAAAGCAAAACCTTGGCATATCCAAGGTTACAGAGCCATTAGCATCTGAAGCATCAGAAGTCATTGTAGCATTTTAGATAAGGCACTAGGGTGAGTCCTTCCTTCAATATGTATATTATTACTATGAGAAACAAAGCAAAGATGTCTGTGGTACTGCTGCAGTAACTGGGGTAATGAGTGGGCTTACACACAGACACCTGGCCCTAACAGGGACATCAGCTAGGACTTAACATTGGCTCACTTATTCTCCATGGTGGATGTTTTCATATCTGGTCTATGTTTGGAAGTGTATTTAGTTCATCATCTATCCACAATGTATAATAGTAAAGGGTTTATAGGCATGTGTTAATATAAATGCATATCTTAACAGCCAGGGAACAGTCTCCTGTGCAATGAATGGATGGTGCACCAGATAATCTGCTAATTCTATTCATAGAAATGATAAGTTTTGTCCTACTTTTGTTTCTGTTACTGCGATAGAAAGCCCCGAGATAAAAAGCAACTTATGGGAGAAAGGGTTTAGTTCAGCTCACAAACTCAGATTCTAGACCTACAAGGAAATCAAGGCCGCAGCAGCTTGAGATGACTGGCCACACCCACAGTTAAAAGCGGATTGAAAATGAATGCACGTGTCCTCGCTTGTGCTCAGTGCAATCTCTCTAGTCTTACACAACTCACAAGCACCTGCCTAGGGCATAGTGCCACCCCAGTGGGGTGTCTTCTCGCATTAGTTATACCAATTAAGACAGTTTTCTACAGACCAACCCAATGTCTACAAACCTCTACTGAGACTCTCTTTTTCAGGTGATTCTAGGTTGCTCTAAATTAACAAAACTAGCCATTATATGTAATTCGGAGCAAAATCAATGCTCTTCTCCAAACGATAGCATTCATAGCATTTAATTGCCAGCTATGGTTCCAGAACAGAGTTATCTAAGAATGAACACATGTTTGAAGAACTGAAACAGAGTGGCTAGGGAGATGGCTGAGTGGCTAAACTGTTTGCTATACAAGCACAGGCACCTGATTTCAGATCCCCAGCCCCCACATTACAGAGCTGGGCATAGCGGCTGATTTCAGATCCCCAGCCCCCACATTACAGAGCTGGGCATAGACATCTGATTTCAGATCCCCAGCCCCCACATTACAGAGCTGGGCAGAGCTGCATGCTCCTATAATCCTAGAACAGGGAAGGTGGAGCCAAGGGGATTTGGGGGCTCAGTGATCAGCCAAACTTGAGAGTTTTGGCAATTAGATATTGAACTCTGGCCTCCATATGCGTGGGCACTGACACCTACATACATTTGCATGAACACACGCTTTGGTAGATGGTGTTTCAATTTATATAATGTTCTGGGGCTGAATAATGATGATCGCACTTTTAGACATACCAGGGATCTTAGAGGTCACAAAATAGAAGCTTCCTGCACAATCTAGAAACTCAGTTTTTATCTCTCTGACTAATGGCCACCCACTTCTCCTGCCCACATCTTGCAGCAGGGACTCACTGTCAGGGCAATCTATTTTACACCCCTGTAGCTGTAAGGGAATCGATGACTTTGACATCTGTTTTTTCCCATGCCAAGTGCTATGTAACTTATCAGAATACATAATACAAAATTGAACACAACTAAAAAGCAACTACGATTAACAAGGTAAACGAACTGTTCGACATGGGGACTCACCCCAGCAAAGGAAGGAATCCAGTGGAGTTAGAGCAAGAGATCTCTGGGTGCTGACATCAGGGTCGTTCTTTCCTGTTTTCTCTATCCTGAGAAAATGGCTACAATACTGGTAACTACCAGGTAGCTGAGGAGAGACAGCTCCCCTTCTTCTTAGGTGTGTTTTCTCAGCTCTCAAGCTCAACAATAAGAAGTTAACAAACTCTGGATTCTTGTCTGATAAGTGACCTGCACGTCAAGGAGTTGTTTTCCTATTTGCACTCCACTTTAACAAGCCCCTGTTTACACCAGGTACCGGTCTGAAGCTAGGACTGGCGACTGTTTCCTTCTGTAATGCCCAGACAGTAATTACTGTGTGGGATCTGCTGCCTTCCTGCGGTGCTCAATCCTGCAGCCCTAGTGTGAAACAGTTCAAGGCTAAGCAAACACCCAGGGGTGGCTATGTTCCGCTGAACCGTCTCCTCTTCTCCTGCCCACATCTTGCAGCAGGGACTCTCTCTCAGGGAAATCTTTTTTACACCCCTACCGCTGAAAGGAAGTTAGGGACTTTGGCATCTGTTTCATTCCAGTTCAAGGGAGTTACTGATGTGGGGGTTATTGTTGTTCAGTTTTAATTTCCGTGTGCACGTGTGTACCTCAGTGAGCTTTTATGCGCCACGTGGGTGCAGAAACCCACAGAAGCTAGAAGAGGTTGTCAGATCCCTCGAAGCTGGAGTTATAGACAGTTGTGAGCTACCATGTGGGTTGCTGGGAAATGAACCCAGGTTTTCTGCAAGAGCGGTGAGTGCTCTCAACCTCGGAATGTCTTTCCCAGCTGCTGCTGAAACTTTTTCTGTTCAGAATTGACTTGAGAGCTACAGACGGTAGCAACTGTGTTTAGATCAGAGGGCAACTTAATGGAGCCAGTTTTCTCCTTCCACCATGTGAGTCTTGGGGATCAAACTTGGGGTATTGAGTTTGTTGGCAGGTACCTTTACCCACTGAGCCATTTCTCAGCTCATTAAAATCTATATCTACCCCTAGTGTCCCACTTTTTCTTATTAACATTGCCCAGGATAAATTTGCTTTGAAAATGGAAAATATTCCATTATCATGCAAGAAGAAAAAAATCTATTGATTGATGATCTAATTATCCCTAAATTACAGTCTCTTTGCTTACTCCTATGAATTATCTGTGATTGGTGCTAGAAATTAATTGCTGTTATAGACTGATATAAGTCTCTAATTGTGTGTCAATATGTCAGAAAAGTTAAAAACCAATACTTATATTTAAGAAATATAACACAGTGAGCAGCTTGGAGGTGACTTGAATTCTAAATAAAATAGATTGAAGGCTTGGTCGTCATCACTTTTGCTTCACTGCATTGGAAAATCTGGATTCAGACTGGAAACTGAATACATACTTGCAAATAGAAGGAGTCAGAAGCAGAGGTTTCTGTCAACTTTATTTTTGGATCTCATTTTCTTCTGGACTATCTCTGAATGTCAGAGGTTTTCAATTGCCAAAAGCAAATAAAAGAGAAGAGATGAATTTAATGAAATTGACGTATGTGACGCCTTCACTGTGTAAGATGTATTGAAATATTTTGGTACATACCACACTGGTCCCGTGCAACAATTTGAAAATAAACTTTCAGATACTGACACTTGTTGTCAGGGTTGGCAATAATTTTCAGAGAGAGAGTTTAGGCATGCTTCCAAAATGCTCTTCTGTAACTGCAATGTCAGTTAATTTCTAATAGATTGTTGACAAAGTTAAATATCTACTGGAAAGGGGAAGTTTATGAACGCATATTTACATGAATGAAATAGTTAATCAGTATTTCTCAATTGTTTTGGAATCTTTGCTTTAGGGCACAAAAAACAAATGCATGCATAACATGTCAGTGGGGAAGAAACTTGTGAGCATTCTCTATAGTCACAAGAACAGTATAGCTGGAGAAATAAGTTATGGGTCTTTTTATGTTGCCAAATTTATTTGAAAGACTGTCAGTGTCACACCTTGCCTTCTTACCACACAGAAGGCAAAAGGTTTTCTGAAACAGGACTTCCCAAGGCTGAAGCTGACTCATTAACACTTGAGCTTTTGAAAGCTGCCGGTTAAAGGTTTAGTCAGCCTTTTGATGCCAGATTCCTTTCCACACTGGTTACTGTACAAATGTGTTTACAAAGTTCCTGCTTTATCAAGTAAGGTAAAGAACAAAACCCTCATCCCAACAAGAAAAAGTAAACCCTGACCTGCCACATCAAGAATTTCTAAGGCACCTTGGTTGTTATCTGTATTTCTTGTAAGCCAGGGCTTCAGAAAGCAACCCTGGACCACTGCTTTTTAATTTTTTAAGACACCATGCAAAGCAGTAGGTTTCATCATGGCATTTTCTTACATATACATCATCATGCTTTGAGTTTATTTTCTCCCCTCCCCCACTGCCCTTCCCTGTAACACCTACTGGTCTTTCCGGCATCTTTTCTCCCATTTTCTACTTGCATGTTGCGTGCATTCCATTGCCTCTCTTCCTCCCACTCCTCTGCTTTGAATTCTCTTCCTTCTCTCTGATTGTCCCCATCCTACTTTCAAGATCTACACACACATGTACATGCACACACGCATGCCTGTCTGTATACAAACACACACACCTAAATGTAAATCAAGAGTCTGCATATGAGAGAAAATGGGATATTTGTTTTTCTAATTCTGGCTTATTTTGCTTAGCACAATGTGTTCCAGTTCCATCCATTTTCCTGCAAATGTAATAATTTCATTTTTTTACAACTAATAAAATTCTACTGTGTAAAAAATATA